AAGCTAGAAGCATATTTTAATGACTTCCTTGTCCGGACACTTCGTGCGTCTTGTATAATCAGACACAGCATTTTGAAACGGACAATTTTTGACTCGGATGTTTAAGAAAATAATTTCCATTGCTGATATGCCTTTCTTTTGTGACTGCAAATTTTCTCTTGAAATCTGAGAGCCAGGCGCTACGTAATAATTTTATGTGGCAAAAGTATTGGCTCTTTTTGAGCGTAGAGATAAGTTGATGCAGGTGTATAAAAAAGCAGAAATGTAAGTATGCACCTTCGAAAGTGTGGTGTTCGGGAGACGCATTTAGGGAGACATAAGAATAAGATTGTAAATAAATCGTTTTTTGGCTTGCATTACTGCTTGTGAAATAATCCTCCTACTTACACTTTTCCGTATTACTGACAAGCTTCATCGACCACTTGCCCAGAAAAGTAATGGCTATCAGTAAAACAGGAAAAGGGAAGAAATATGGACATATTCATTACTATCTTGAAGGCGAAAAAAAGAGAAAAAGAAAAACATGGATATATGCAACAGTGAAAAAAAAAGTGAACATATTCAATAGTCTGTTGAAAAGGTCATCCTCTTTGTTCGCAGTTACGCTCGATGTCCTCAAATTCAGCCACTTTTTTGGTTAAAAGTGTAAAAGCGTCAGATGTTGGTCATCCAAAAGCGGGTCTTCACGAAACCTGTGCATTTAAATGGACCTGAAGCTATGAAGCCGGGCGGATTTAACGTTGGTTAAAGCTGAGGATCAAAAACTCCGACGAATTTAACGCCAAAAACCGGGCATTACGAAGTTCGAGAAGTTTTAGTTGACTTAATTAATTATCAAGAAGGAAATACTGGGTGGCGGAACAGTGGCGTTTTTTAAGGCCTTGGCAGTTGTCGCAGTAGAACTTATGATTCATTATATTTTAGTAATAGCTGGCAGTGAAATTTTATTTTACAGATTTTGCTTTTTCTTTCCCGCCCAATGCTCATAAATTGGTACAAAAGAGGAAAGCCAGTGCAAAGGATTTATATCTGAATGGTTCAAAGACCGTCAATAGAAAAAAAAAAAAGATTGGATTCTGCTGCATTTTTATTCCAAATGGTTTATCCCAGGGGAGCAGGAAACCTCTTTTCCTTAATTTTTCAATTTGCAGGCAGTGCAGTCCATGACAACTTCATGTCAGGCTTGGAAAAAGAGGAGCCAGCAGAGGTCACGCCGAATGCACGCGAACAGATCGATGAAAAAATTGATGCTACAGCTGGTCGCAAAGTCAGTGTTTTGCTCATCAAATTTGTTCAATTTTCAGATGTCTTCAGCTTTTTATGCGTTTTTTGCATCTATGCAATGCAGAAAACGCATATTAACGAGAGGTTGTCTCTGGTGCGCTGTGCGTCTGTACCGTTTTTTCATCTCGAGATTTACAGAAGCTACAGAGCTGAAACTTTGGAAACTTAATCTGCATGCATGTACGGACCCCCATCCCCAAAATGGGTGGTCTTACCCTCGTGGGGCGCACGTACAGGCCCGTAGAAGTTTTTGCGGTAAGTCGCTGGCTTGGGAACCAGGAAAGCTAGAAAGCTGAAACTTTAAGAGAATGTTCCCAGTCTACGTAAGTCTGAACGAGCTTCAAACCAGTCCCTGGGTATGCGTGGCACCCACGTACTGGTCCGCCAAAGTTTTTTGGGCAAGTTGTTAACTCAAGAACCTGAAAAGCTAGAACAGTAGAATACTTAGGAATGCGTACCGGTTGCCGTATGAGGATGCGTTTTTTGCACTGTTCCCCTGCAGGTTTTTTTCGCCAGTGGCACGTTCTTCCCGGCAGATGCTTCTAGCTAAAAGAATTGGGACTGGCCACCGCATTGTGAGAAATTATTATAATGACTCCCAATCCATCCCAAAAAATTCAGCGCTCTGGATGCTTCGGCTACGGAGTTACGTCAAACCTCACGTGTTCATGCGTGAGTGGCAAGGTGAATGACTTCTTTCCCCAAGATTGCTCAAACACGGTCCTGCGCAGCGTTTAGGAACTTTCAGCACTCCACTTGCTCTGGTTGCAAAACTACGTCAAAAAAAATTTCACGTGTCCGTAAGTGAGTGGTAACGTGAGTGATTTCTTCGTCCGCGGTTGCTCAAACACGGTCCTGGGTGACGCTCAAAAAGTTTCGGCACTCCAGCCACTCTGGTTGCAGAGTTACGTCAAATTTCACGTGTTTGTACGTGAGCAGCAACATGAGTGATGTCTTCGCTTGCGTTTGCTCAAACACGGCTCTGGGTAACGTCCAGAAAGTTTCAGTACTCCAACTGCTCTGTTTGCGGGGTTACGTCGAATTTCACGCGTGTACACGTGAAACATACGTAAGGCGTGAAGGTGATGTGGTAAGTTGTTTTTGTGTGCATCTGATCAAAGGCCACCGCCAGTTATGCTCAGAAAGTTCAGGTCCTCTGGCTGATTCAATTCTGAAATTACAAAAGCGCATGCGTGAAACTTTCACGTGCCCGTACGTGAGAACCACGCGGAACCGAGCGTCCATTTTGAGGATAGGAGCCTGCACGTATGTGTAGATTAAGTTACCGAAGTTTCAGTCTTGTAGCTTATATGGATCTCGAGATGAAAACTCGTTGCAGGCGCACATACAGACACACACACACATACATACACACATGCACACAGACAACTCGACAATATGCGTTTTTGCATTGCATAGCTGCAAAAAAAAGCATAAAAAGGATTGGGCCTAGGTGTTATGTATAAGAAGACATTTTACGATGCAGTCTGTTTCATCCCCAAGCTGTAAACACACACCGAATTAATTGTGCGGGTAAGAGTGGGAATCATCAGTACAGCCTCCTACCTGCCATGTACTGGACGGCCATGTAACTAATTTGCAAGATGGATATGTGAGAGAAGAAAAAACCGAGAAGGACCAAACAGAGTAAGAGAAGAGTGGAAGAAGAGGGAGTTAACTCTAGTTATGAGAAACTATTTCGAGGAAGTGCTTTTCATGAGAATAGCATGCGGACTAGGCGTTTGATTTCCGTACCATCAGGAAAGATGAATTTGTTGAGCACAGACAGTTCTTGATGCAGAATCTGAGAACGGAGCGTTCTTTTTTGGCCATACCAAACTTTTTATGTTTGTAGATACTTATAAATCGTCTAGCCCAGTAATGGAATTCCTGTGGGAGAGTGCATACACGTGCATACCGAAGTAGCTGCGATATAATAACACCCTCTTGCACCGTTTGGTCTATATTTTTAAAAAATATGCGACAAAGTAGATATCGGAATAGATGTACCGGGCTACCCTCCATGATTTACAGTGAATGGGTGGTCCAAGGTCTTATTGCGTACGCTGAAAATACTTGGCACAAAATATCGAGGTTGAAAAAACAAGCCCTTTGTCCGTAGCAAGTGGTGTTGAGTTGTAGACTGGGACCATAGATGCTACTGGCGATTTCGGTAAAGTTAACGCATTTAATAATAGGGATTTCTTTGATATATCGAAACAGATGGGGACGAATCCCCGGTCTTACGAAAGAACCGATACTCCATGACTGACAGTGTGAGATTGGCAATACCAGGACTGGCATTACCGCCCATGGAACTTTAAGGGGGTGCTCCCCTTCCAAGTAGGTGTTGAGTTCAAACCCAGCCCTAGGTATGTGTGGTACCCACGCACGGGCTCGCCAAAGTTTTTTTTGGGTGAGCTGCTAATTCGGGAACTTGAGAAGCTAGAAGACTGAAATTTTAAGGGGATGTTCCTCGTCTAAGTGGATATAAATGAGGTCAAATCTAACTCCCGGGTATGCGTGGTTCCTGTGTACGAGCCTGTGAAAGTTTTTTGCGGGTAGGTTGCTAACTCGGGGACCAGGAAAGCTAGGAAGCTGAAATTTTAAACGGATGCTTTCTGACAATCCTGGCGGCTAGCCTCAGTTCCTTTAGCTGGAAGCATTTGCCGGAAAAATCGGTGCCGATAGCGACAAAAACTGTGGGGAACTCTACAAAAGACGCATCTTCGCACCAGCAGTGGGTGCGTTGGCCAATTATTGCATACATGCAATGCAATAACGCATATAGTATAAAGTATTCATGTGAAAGGGTGGGTCTCTGTGTTCCTGAGAGCAGTTTGCAAATGTCAGAAATATTGCCCAGCTGCATACATAATTTTTTCAACTAAATTTGTTTGTAGTTTTAATAACGCTTCCATCTAAGTTATTTCCGCATCACTGTTGAGAGCTATTTTGGCG